TTCCCTTCTCCACTCTCCTCCTGGGATTTCGGGCACACACACCTATATGCCTGGTGTGTTCTCACACTGCTGGGTCTGGGGCTCCAGCCACGGCTGGCCATGAGATCGGCTGCCTCGGCCCCACGCCCCCGGCCGGCCTCCCGTGCACCAGGGCAAGCGCTGCGCTCTGACATTTTGCTTGGCTTGCGGCTCCTCTTTCTGTTTTCATCATGCTGTCTTTCAATGCGGAAAAAGATTTGGGGTAATTCTGTGATTTTCATTTTTTCGACTTTAGCCAGCTCGTGGGGTCGTGGGGTGTTGGATGATAAAGCGCCCCCAGGGGCATGGTTGGGCCACAACCCCATTCTGCTATCTCCCCTTCCCTTCAGGGCTTTGGGCGCACACACACAACTGGAGTGGTTCTGAAGCCCTGGGTCCAGGACTCGAACTGTGCCGTCAGCCACGTGGGACCCACCGCCTCAACCACCGGGTCACAGGCTGGCCTTTTCTACGAGGTTCTGATTTACTTCAGGTCTGTACTCTTCTCCCCAAAGTTCCTTTCTTTCATGAGACAGAGAGACACCCCAACAGGGTTCTCTCACCATGGCCTGCCCCAGCCTTGAGCCTCGGCGAGGTCACGGCATGCGTCTGGTGTCCAGTGCACCAGGAGCCTGGGCGCACGGACCAGGACGCCCCACGTGAGTCCAGGGTCACCACTGTGCCACCACTGCCACACTCCCTACTTGTCACTTTAAATAAGCCTTTCTCAGCCGCCGTGTTCATCCCCAACGAGACCCTGTACTTCCCCACACAGCCTCGTGGTTCCCTTACGTGGCTCCGTGGTTCTCTGTACACTTTGCTGTCAGTCTGTTCCACCCGGGTGCCACCCCCATCTCAGAAACAAGAACGGAACTACCTCTGCTTTGACTTTCTCATGAAGTCACAAACCCTCCCTGTTAGCCCTTAGCTTACCTCGGGACGAGCTGATATGGGCGAGGCCTGCTGAATGAAGAGAGGAGAAAACCGAATTCCCAGGGGACAGAGCGCCCTGGTCCCGAGAGGGAGACACAGAAGGCCAAGGACACTGGGGCGGGGGGGCAGGAGGTAAAGCACACTGCGCGGTGAGGTGAGCTCGCTTCGGCCCCTCCATCAGGCAGCTGCGCCTTTCACCTCAGTGCACATAAACCGACTGAGCGGCCAGCTGCTGGCGTGGTTAGGGTTCCGAGTCCCACGTGGCCCGCTACACGGCTCGATCCCCAGTCCGCGTCCTGGCAAACATGCCAGGCGTGCGTGCCCCAAACCCTGACAAGGCTGAAGCAGCCGGGACCGCGGTGTAGCCTTGCCCTGTGGGTGATTTCTCGCTTTCCTCCCGCTCTGCGCCTGTCTGCTGGGTGCACGTGCTGTCTAGCACCGCTGGGTAACAACAGTAAAATAAGGCAACGGTGAGCTGACTGGGAACTCACGGATTTTCCCCCACGCTCGGTGAACTTTCCCTTCAACCTACCGGTACTGGCCGGGCTGCTGGCAGCCAGGGAGCCTGGATGGTTTCGGATGAGCCCGTCCTGGGTGGGCGGAGGGCCGGCTGCCCACAGTGTGCTGTGTGCTGGGAGGCCATGCTGCTGCTGCGGACACTGCTGGGCCAGCACCGGAGGGAGTGGCAGGTGGCTGAGGGCTGGGCTCTGGCCAGGGAGCCCCGGCCTGCCGGCGGGAGTGCGCTGTGAGGTATACATCTGCTCGTAGGGCTCCCCGGCAGGCAGGGCGGGGTAGGACACGCCGGGGTAGGCAGCAGTGGAGACGGGGGGTGTGGCATAGTGACCACAGGTGGAGGGAAGTCCCTGAGCCGCGACAGCAGAGCCGGCCGTGTGCACGGCTACGCCGTAGTGATTCACGAAGGCAGAGGGCGGGCAGGCACCCGTGTGCAGGTGCGGGGCTGAGGTCGCAGTGCCCTGGGAGGATCCCGGCGTGGGCCCTGCATGAGGACCAGAGGGGCCCCTGCCGAAGGCCTGCTGTGCTCCGGGCTGGCGGCTGGCTTGGCCAGGGGCTGCTGGGTTTGGGGTCGGTTGTGCACGGCTACGCCGTAGTGATTCACGAAGGCAGAGGGCGGGCAGGCACCCGTGTGCAGGTGCGGGGCTGAGGTCGCAGTGCCCTGGGAGGATCCCGGCGTGGGCCCTGCATGAGGACCAGAGGGGCCCCTGCCGAAGGCCTGCTGTGCTCCGGGCTGGCGGCTGGCTTGGCCAGGGGCTGCTGGGTTTGGGGTCGGTGCTGTGTAGAGGCCGGTGTAGTATTCGGTGCTCCGGTTCTCCATGGGCGAGGGGGCCGCAGCATAGAGGCCTGGGGCCGCAGGGTAGTCCTGAAGATGCAGTCCATAGCCGGCCGGTTACATCACTGGACTCCCACGAAGTCAATTATAATTCGAGTTCCAGACCTGGCGGCTTGAATTTACGCTGGGCACGTGTGCATGTGTTCTCACAATACCA